TTTGTTAGGCATTTTCTATTTGTCTTCCTTCAAAAACGTTTTTATTCAATAAAAGATCGTATTCAGAATCAGTACAACAAACTGCATTGAAACACATACAGTACTATGATTTTGCAGAGAAATATTTTTCTTCCAATTTTTCTCCTCGAGATCCCGTCTAGTGAATTTTTCAATTAAATTAATTTTTAGAAAACGACTATTTTTACTTTTGATCGTTTACTAGGCCAAGAAGTAACAATTATAGAGATGAAATAAGTGTTTATTCGAAAGAAAATATCATGTTCACTATGTAGCGACTCACGAAGCAACTACCCAAACTGATACCCACCGTTTGAGCTCATATTGGGTTCACAAGAGTGTTTCGGTAAGACTATAAAAATCTTTATAGCGTTTGTACCAATGGATCTCTGGTGCCGAGTTATAACCATTTTACTAGATTCTCTATCTAGCTTTAGGTATTTACTGAAAAATTAAATAACAATATTTCAATCTGAAATTTCGCTTCTAAGTAGATCGAACGACTGATGAAATATTTTGAAAATTTCGGCCGAAAAGAATGTTCTCCTGTCAAGATATTGAATTTCTAAAAAACGATTGTTTGCCGCAGATATGCCACAAAGCTCGAGTTTACTTGAAAACTCAATATTTCAACATAGGGATATTTGTTTTCGACTGAAACTTTTAAGAGATTTCACTAGTCATTCGCCATGTTTATAGGTAAAATTTCTGATCGAAATACCTAAAACTGGATTGCTAATTCAGTAAAACGGTCATAACTCGAGCTTAGAAGTCCCTAGACACGAATCCTTTCAGATTTTTCTAGCCTTATGGAGACCTACTTGTGAATTCAATATGAATTTAAACAGCAAGTATCAATTCAGGTAGTTTTCTCGTCAGCTAATCAGTTTACATTTCCTAGATGTGATGTATTAGTGGAACAGGAATAAATATTAAAGGAATACGTTAGATATTCAATTTAAAAGTATACTTGAAATGAGCTCAACATTTTGTAGAGTCATGCTGGATTGCCTATGCAACAAATCGAATATAAAAGAATAGATAGAACAAAGACTTTCTAGGTAGGATGTCATACTTATAAATATTTGATATCCAATAATGTTTGAAAGGTTCTGTTGATGCATAAGTGTAATTTGATCATCACGGTTTCTTTTTCTCATTTATCGTATTTTATGGCATTTCGAGTCGACCATCTACATTGTCATTTCAGAAAAAGGTTTTTCTGATATCGAAGTATGATGATTGATGATATTCGTATCAGATCGTTTATTCTCGTATCCGTTATTTCGTTTACACAGTGAAGTCTGAAACGAATCAGTAACAAAACACGTCGAAATTGAATCCGATATAACGATAGTAATTGAAAGTAAATGGCCTAATTTTTCGTATAAGAAAAAGGAAAAATAATAATCGAGTAATCGATAATGAACAATAGCACATATTTTTATTTATCAAATTTTAAGTGATCGAATCGTGAAAACTCATTCTTAGATTCGAGTTTTAGATGAAAACTCTTATGAAGTCAGTTTGAGAATCACATTTGAAATTAAGACTACATGTTGTGTTCGAGTATCACTAAAAGTTGATTTGTTTAGGAATTTTTCTTTTGATTTCACTCTATAATCTTCCTTATGTTTCTATTCAGATTGAAAATATGCCAACGATTTCGACGAAAAAGATATGCGTGAAATGTGAGACAAATCCCGGTATTGTCACTTGCGATGGATGTCATCAATCTTTTTGTGAACATCATTTATCTGAACATCGAGAGGAAGTTTTAAAAGAAGTGGATCGAATTAATGATGACTGTGAACGTTTGCGACAGAGTCTCGTACAAGAAAATGATCCAACGCCTCTTTTATCTGCCATTGACGTTTGGGAACAAGAATCTATTAAGAAGATACAACTGTCAGCTGAAAATGCTCGAAAAGAAGTTCATCAGTTGACCAAGCGGACAATGAATGATCTCAACGAAGTCATAGATAAGATTACTGCAAGTATGGAGTCCAGTCGCCGGGCACGTGATGCGACAGAAATTGATTTGAAGAATTGGACTCGACAGGTTCAAAAACTGCAGAATTTGCTTCAAAAACCGTTTCCAATTAGTGTTATAAGTGATGAAACACCACAATCTGCTATTCGTCTCATCAACATAATCTATGAAGCACCCCTACCCAGTTCTGTTCAAGCAAAAGTGAACAAAAGACAGAAATCGACTATCAAATTGCAGTCACACTCATCGTTTCTGGAAACACCACATACAACTGCTGAAGAACGCTTTCACCAGGTTGCTGGACGTGTAAAATTATCAGAGGATGGTTTACTCGCAACATGTATGGGTTATTCGAGTATCTGCGGTATCAAACTGTATGGCTCGGAAATTCATAACATTCGATTTCGAATCATCGCTAAGAAAAATGAAGGCATCTTTTTCGGTATATTGGCATCGATGCAAAAGATAACAGCACGAGCAACAGAATTATCATCGGTCTATGGTTGGCGAGATTTCGATCGACCTATTGTCAATCGCAATCCTCAGTTGAAAGTCTACAAAGAGAAAAATATTGAACCAGGTGATCAAATGACATTGACTATTGACTGTGATCATACTGAACTTGTTCTCACTCATCATCGACTACAGCGAAATGTCAAATTGTCCGTCGATGTGGACAAGTGTCCACTACCATGGAGATTACTTGTTTCATCCTATGGCGAAGACACAATCTGTATCATGGGCTAGGTCAATCCTATGATAATCACAATCCTGTTTGCGTCACTATTCACTTGAATTGTATTATGAAACTCACATATATTTTTCAAAAAAAAAATACTCATTGTATGTTGAAGACAAAGTTTTTTGGTTCTCCCCTTCCATCTCCTAGTTACCAGGAATAAAAGGTCAATGATTATATTTTCTCATCAATCAAGCAAATAAGTACAAGACTTCTTTGTAGAACTACTTAGCAGTAGAAAAGATGTTAAACCACAGTGAATAATATGCGTAGACTCTTTTGAAGCATTCTAGAACATCCCGAAGCCATTCTTGAACTCTAAATGGTCATAAGATGTTTTTGAACTGTATGGCAGATAAAACGATTGTATGATAGATGTGAATCATGATGGCAAGTGATGTGTCGATTTGATATAGTCTGCATATGGCTGATACAAAAGAATAATATAATCAAGTTTTAATTCATAGTAATAATCAACATAAGAATTTCTATGTTTATCATGATATAAGATGTTGTGTTGAGACCCATTGTGTATTTATTAAATTCTTGTACATAGCAATTTATATTGGCAGCTTGATTAATCATAAAGGAAATTAAAATAATAATAAATTAAGATGGAAACGAAATAAAAACATAATATAATGAACGAATCAATTGAAGCAAAACAAATATAATATGAAGCACCAGTAAAAAAACAAACAAAAATTGCTATCTAAAATGCAAAAAATAAATAATACAGAGTCAATCTTTGATAATTGGTTATCAATGACAGGTAATTATCATCTGTTAGAAATTCTTCAATTTATGTATTTCTTATCAGTATAATGGATCTGAATAAGAGACATGAGTTCCACATTGTAGTTTACTGTTATAGCAGTTTGTTTTTTTTCTTACAATATCAACATTTCGTTTAGAGGTATTCCTTCATATTGAAAGATGATTTTTGTGTTATTTGTACAAAGTTTCTTCGTTGCGAGACAGTTGAGTTTAAAAACATGTTTATATTTTGCAATATGAGAATGATACGACATAAAGACACTGTGTCCAATGCAGTGGAGTGAATATTCAAAGAAATGTAACGGATGTTGCATCTAGTTTCCATGGTAAATCTTGCTCCTTGGAAAACGAAAGATATTGGAACTTTGTTGTGACAATCGAACGTGGGCTAGTGACGCATCATTCAATTGAAAACAAGTGCCATCAACATATGATACCACCTGATTCTCATTCTTCAGAAGTCGAAAGTAAACACTTCACTTCAAAACAAAAGATAACCACAAACAGAAACTTTACCGTCACATTGAAAAAATAGATAGAAGACAGCTGATAATAGTTGATCTTTCATCACACCCAATTGGAGCTATTTGATGTCTTAATTTATAAGTGATTGTGCCCTTTCCAATAAAAAGTCCTATGTTTGTGACCATATGATTCTCTATATATTCCATTTCTGCCAATATTCAGCTTTCTCCTCTTGTGTTCGACTACGATTCAGTTACGTCATAATTAACCCCTCATTATGATTACTCTTTGAGACACAACAACATTCGAGATCCATACTTCCACCTAATCAAATTTTTACGACACAGCTGCATATATTTGTGGCGTCACGTAAACATGGTCGAGCACATTTTCTTTTAGTTTTGCTTTCTTTGCCGTTAAATTAAGAAGTGCTTACAAGACTTAGCGTAAAAATACACAGCTGTTTGGTTACACAATCATACGATCACACGCAGTACTAATGGTAAAGTCTCAAATGCATATACAATTAACTGATTTTTATGATGTTCTTTTTTAGTTTATGGGATGAGTAATATTAATATAAGAACAAGACTAGACCAAATATTTATTTGTTTTGTTTTGTGATCAATCTAATCATAAAATATCCAATCTTTTTAGGAAAATTTTTTCAACAAATGTCAATTAACAAACATTTTAAAATGTTCTATTTTAAACAATAAGAGTCAAAAACAAAAAAAAATAAGATAAGATAACGTCACGTGTATGATAAGAAAAAAAACAGAAAAGCTATTCTTTATCTTTGATCCCTTCAGTCAATATGACTGTTTTTATTTCTGTTCTTTTGTTTATTTCTTTCAACACCTCTCATTGTTAATATTAGTGAACTAGGCAGAATTACAATGAGTGTAGTCTTGAAAAAAAACAGAAAAATAGATAAAAAGCTTGTTTTTCTCCTTGAATTTTAATCGATAATTATAATTATTTGCTATTATAGATACATTGTTGACAATGTCTCAAACATCTATCATCTTATCATGTGTTCTAATCAGTATATTTCTAACAAATCTTTGTTGGGCAAGTTTATTATTAGTTGATCGTAAAAATCCGTGTCGTGCTTATGGAAATGCATCAGTCTATGATATAACAAATCTTGTCAAAACGTGGCCTGTTACTCTTAAAGGAACTGGTTTTGATGGTAGAGAATATATTTATTGGTGGAGTTGTGCTGGCAAAACACGACAATGTGAAGACACAGACACTGCTATATGTCAACAACGAATAGATGAACCTGTGCTGCGATTTAATGCAGGTAATGTCTCTCCACAATTATGGTTTGGTTTATTTAATGGTGCTGTAGTTCAAGTAAATAAAAAGTTTTTCGTTTATAAATTAAAATATATATTATCTTTCTATTCTATAGAACAATCTTACATGGGATATCATATATCCAAATCTTCAATCAGATCCATCACTTATTGATGGTACCGGTATTCGAGTTACAGTTGTACATTTTATAGTTGATCCAAATATTGAGAAACCTCTATTGACAATGAATGGTGAAAATAAGTATACAGAATATTCAATTACAGTTCGTGGTAAATGTATTGGACAACCTGCAATCAATCGAACGAGTTTTATACAAGGATATTGTGATCCACAAACGGGACAAATTGTACCTGGTCCATATATGAATGACATAAATGCATAGTTCTCAAAATTATAAATAAGATCTTCTTGAAATTTTCTTTTCTTCTATCATAATCGAAATTTTGTATGAAATAGAACAAAATATATTCTATTGTATTTTGTATTTGTTATTTTTCTATATGAATTGATTTCTTTATTGATTTTTGATTAAAAATTCTGCACCTCTATTCGTTTTATTTTTACGAAATAATGTAAGAAAAATATTCATTAAAATGCATCAGTGGAATCAACCGTATTCTTTTCCTTAAGCCTCCTGAAAATATTAGCAAATTATCTCGACAACAACAAAGTTTTTCTTTTCATCATGGTATATATTTATTTCTATGATAATCTCAAATGTCAGATATCTTTCAAGGCTGAAATTTTCAATATAAACTTGCTTATAGTTTTTTTTCTATACAATTGTATTCTTTTGTAAAAAAAATTGCATAAAAAATGAGCATGAACTCTGACAAAACAAATATTGTTCTGAAAAAAAAATCCGTAGAAGAAGACAAAACAAATAAGTTTTCTTATTAAATCGCAAATGCATTCCACATATACGTTTTTGTTATTACTGCTGTTTGCTATAATCTACACTTATAACTGTTAGAAACGTATCCGACTTTTTTACCATTCAAACATTTATTGGTACGAATATCATAAACTGAAAAACAAAATGAATCCGCTTAATTTATTGTTTTTATACTTGTTAAGTAAATATCTCTTTTCCGATTGAATGATATAAACTTGTTACTTTAGCATTAATCCCAATAACAAATGGATTAATTTGCGTATCATGTGATGGTTCAACTAATTCTGGTTGTAATGATCCATATAATCCAAGCACATCAGGAGATCTTCCAGTTCCCTACAATACCTATTGTGCAGTGAGTAATGAATTGTAAAGAACCTTATTTTTTCAATATTTGTTAATTAATTAGAAAGTAGTATATTCAACTTATGTTGAACGTATAGCAGGTGGTCGATCTTGTACGTCTGGTCATAGTGGAGACAGTATTGTCTATTGTTGTTCAAATAAAGATTATTGCAATGGAACAACGAGACATATCTCATCGATAACTATTACTTTAACCTTGGTAACCTTTTTGATGATTCTGAAAGGAATAATGTTATTCTGAAATATAAACTCAATTTTTGTTTTTACATGAACTTTGTATTGAAAAGTTTTTTTTTTTTACATTGTTCATTCTCTTTTTTCTTTGAAATCAATCGTGGATACAGATGTCGGCCTATTGAGAAGTTTTTTTTTAATGCAAAGTGTAAGAACTGATTAATTAATAATAATAAATTTTATTTAAAAGAACAGTTTATTATTCCATTCCCTTCCTATAAATCATAGAAGCAAATTGGCCTATACGCTATTCAAAAAATAAATTAAAACAAAACATTTTAAAACTATAAACAATATCAAATTAGTTAATTTTCTTCAATTGTATCAACTTGAAATCATTAGTGATAAATCCTATTTCAAATTGATTATTTTTAATTTAACGTGATGATAAAAATAAGACTTGTTGTACCATCACTATAAATTCCCGGAAAAATAACGATTATATGATTTGTTTAGACGAAATCGATATATAGATAATGAAATATCGATGATGATAAAAATTAATCCAAGACATATAATCAAAGAAGATTAAAAAAATTTTGAAATAGGATAAACATGTTTTGGTATTATTGTTGAAAATGTTAAATTTATATACAAAGCTAAATTAATAAGAGAAAAAAAAATTGTTTCAAAATTTTTCAATTAGAACTTACGATGTATGTTACAAAGAGAAGTCGAACAACAATCAATACGACCTTGAAAAGTAACACCACCATATGTTACATTACTTAACGATTGATTAATACAATTATCAATAAAAGTACGCATCGTAAAAGCTGGATAATTGTGTTCAGTAACGAGATCTTTTCCAGCTGGACCAATAATCATCTTACAAAAATTATAGTTTATAAATAAATAAAGATTCTGAAAATTCTTTTCTCTTATTTACTCACAGTACATGATTCAGATGGATTTGAAGATGCAGAATTATAAACATATGAACTAGATGTATTCAGTATCATACAATCTTTCAAACCAGTTATACGTGAATCACATGTATAACAACGAATAACTTCACTTGAAAGGAAAATTTGTTGATTACATTCAGGATAATTA